GGAATCATAATTTCAAGAGAAAATCGATTAAACAAATCTGACGTCTTGCCTCTCTCGCGCGGAGACGCGAACAGTATTTCAAGAAGCGAATTTATTGTCGGAAATGAAAAGATTATTACGCGGATATATAGCCAAGGACGAGGTATACGAGTAGACCTTACACCTTGTGAACTTTCGTGACCTCGTCTCGAGTCGATAAAAAAATTGACTGAATTATGCAGTGAGCGTAAAAAGTATTCGTACACTAGTTACGACTAAAATGCTGAACAATAATGTTTATTGAGCTATATTTTTTAAACGAACATGTTACATGTATTCTCCAAAGTCTGTAGAACATCAGCATCAAATAAATAAAAGGAATATTTATGTTGTTTATATGAATATCAAGAAAAATTAACAAAATGTAATAAGTGTTCGTACAGTAACTAATGACGACTAAAGTGCTGAATAATAATGTTTATTGAACAATATTTTTTAAACAAACATGTTACATGTATTCTCCAAAGTCTGTAGAACAATATCAAAAACAAAAAAAAATATTAATATTGTTTATATAAACGTAAAGAAAAATGAAGAAAATGGCAGAAATGAACACGGAATAAGTATTCGTACAGCTCTGTTGTCATTATCAAGTGTAAAAGTAATTTAAACATTCTTAATAAAAACAACAAATAATTGTAAAATTAATATTTATAATTAGTATTTCGTAGGGTTTCCCTCTGATTTTATTTTATGTTATGTTTACACAACAAAATTTGAATCAGGAAAACTTTGGAGAATACATGTAACGTGCTTATTGAGAAACTATCATTAACCAACCATTATTATTCAGCATTTCAGTAACAATTAATCACTGTATGAATACTTATTACACCCCCTGTGCGTCATTGAACAAGGTTCCTTTGAAAAAGTGTTCCACTGACTCGTTCATTCGCCAACAGAGGGATACACTCAACCTGTGTCTCTCTCACAAGTGCTCGATCGATCACCCATTCCTGTAACACATACAGACTCCTCGACTAGCCATACAGAACTTGTTAGGGCTGCCTTATTAATGGTCCCCTCTCCTTATACCATCTCGCTTATTTCATCCTACACCGACGATCCGTCACACTATGATTACGCAACGTAACTGCAAACAGACGGCCGCGTCGAACCTAATCAAGAGATGCGCGTAATCGATCGATACATCACGATTTACAACACTTTCGTCCGCTACCCGTTGTCGTGACGTCACGTGTCATCGTTTAGAAAGAAGCCAAGGAGAACTGCATTTCTGCCCGGGCATAACTGCATTTATTAGTACCCGAAGGACGCGCGATCGAAGAAAGTCCCCTGCGCGGATCGTCCGTGAATCTCAGGATCCTTTCGAGGATGACGCGTCGGTTCGATTTTACCCCGCGGCGAATTCGAATTTGTCTGGATAGGAATATTAACGCCCCACGGCGTGAAAGAAACGCGTAAATCGAAGGTCTGCGTCTTACGACGATGCAACGCGACGAATTCGTAATAAATTCCACTTCTTTCTCCACCCTCTCGATTTATAAATCCTTCGATCATCGAACGTCGTTTCGTCGACCTCGTTTCATGTAACTTTGAAGCTGTAGAATTATTGAAAACTATGTCTTCGCTTTGAATCCAAGTCTATTATACTTAATTACGTCCTTGCAATTTTTTGCATCCTCAGTTATCTCATGGTAACCTAAAAGAATACCAATTTGTTGATAGAGGCTTTAAAAGTTATTAACGTTCAAAGTTCCACCTCTCCTGAATTTTTTTCTCGAAAATGCGTAGAATTTCGAGGGTATGACTATTCACCAAAAATAATTGAAATTGAACCCTGCAATCGAAAATAATTTTTTTAGAACGATTTGAAATTTTTCAATTTTGTCAAAAAATTTCACACCTACTCGAATTTTTTTCTCAAAACTGAGTAGGATTTCGGGGGTATGACTATTCACCAAAAATAATTGCAATTGAACCCTGCAATCGAAAATAATTTTTTTAGAACGATTTGAAATTTTTCAATTTTGTCAAAAAATTTCACACCTACTCGAATTTTTTTCTCAAAACTGAGTAGGATTTCGGGGGTATGACTATTCACCAAAAATAATTGCAATTGAACCCTGCAATCGAAAATAATTTTTTTAGAACGATTTGAAATTTTTCAATTTTGTCAAAAAATTTCACACCTACTCGAATTTTTTTCTCGAAACTGAGTAGGATTTCGGGGGTATGTCTATTGAGCAAAAATGATTGTAATTGAACCCTGGAATTGAAAATAATTTTTTCAGAATGATTTGAAATTTTTTAATAACATTTTAACGAGGCCTCGGACAAGAAATTGATATTCTTGATTTTTGTCGTATTTTGGCCTCTAGAATCTTCAATTAAAATTTTTCCCAGGGATGGCCGGACACCCTGTATAAACAATTTATGTAAACTTGATTGTTCAAGCCACTATGGGATAGAAATATTGATAAATAAATTATATAAAAAAAACAACAAGTTATAGTATTTAAACGAACACGTAGAACATTATAAAAAGAAAAGATAAAATTTTCTAACTTTGGGCACTTGCATTATTTTCTACAAACACAACTGAACAAAAACATATCGACATTTTGAACGTTCGTCGTATGTATTTCCATTTGTAATAAATATATTTAATTATCAAATGCGGGAGATTGAAATGTGTTTTGTTCATAACGGAGAAACGCTGGCAAATTACGACAACAGCCATCAGGAATATCTGGTTTACTAAAAGCCTCGTCTCTACAGTCGTCGTGGGTCTTCGCGACGAAGTTTGCCAAAACCCGGAATACGGCGAGTCGTTACGAAATTTGGTAAAACTACCGCAATCGCGAACTCAGGCCTCCACAAAGTCCGTCGAAACTTTCACTGTTGCTGCGGTCTCTGCGAGATTTGCCAAAAAGCCGCGCGCCGTTGGAAAATTTCAACAAAATCCGCCATCCCCGTCGCGATAACTCCGACGATGGACCGACGTCCAGGCCAAAACGAATGGTTTTTGTTCTTAAATGTTGCCAGCTTGATTCAGAACCCTGGACTTGATGACAAAAAATATTACTCGTTACTTCGTGGAATTGGCTGGAGGGAACAAATTCGAGATCAGAATATTTCTTACAAAGAAATTTTATAAAATATATCTTTAAAATAATGCTATATAACTTAATGAGTTCAATGTCACGTTGAATGACGCTGTCAAAAGGATATTAAAATAGTAAACAAACTTTTGTTTATGTATTAAGATTTTTAGTTCTTATTTCAAAGTTAAAAGTGTATGAATATACTTGTATTAATTTCTATGTTTTTGGTAACATTTTTGTAGAAGATACATATACCTCAAATAGAGTTATAGAAACTCTTTGTTGAAATTATTCATTGTATATAAAAATTGAGGTTTATTGACATTATTAAATTTATGAAAATTATTAAATATTATTAAATATTTAGAATTAAGTTATTAATTGTTAGACCACCCTAGAAGCTTCGATCGTCTACGCTGTGTGTTTATTGAAAACGAGATAACAGTAAAAAACAATTACTTAAGACCGTATAAAAAATGTAAATGTATGACTAAAATATAGTTAAATAAACTACAAAAAAGAATCACAACGTTAGATGTAGCATTTGTTTTAAAAAAATTCATGGAAATTGCTAAATTGACAGTTTCGGGAGAAAACTAATATAAATGTATAAATTGAAATATGTTGTCATGGAAAGGAAAACAAACATATCTGATATATATTTATTATAGTTTTTCCCATAATTGCATTCGTTCTTAAATAAACGAGGTCGTCTCGGGTAGAAAAAGACCCAAGGATCGCCCGAGGGTTAAAAAATGAGTGCTGATGTTGCAAGATGGCGAGTTATAACGGTGTTACTATGAAGTGCGTAAGGATGGCGTCCCTAGGGGAGTTCTTCGTAGAGTCTACCGGGAAGGAAGACCCAACAATAAACTTCCTTATAGCCATTACACGTCAGAGACAAGTGGATCTCCCAAACCCGTTCTTTTACGACTCGGAATAGCGAAGAGAGGGCTAGTTATTTCGAGTTCAATGATCCCTCGATAGTCGTGCGTGATCTTTGGATCAAGGAGGTTATGGATTTCGTTCACTGATTCGCTTTGGAATGCATAAATATTATAAAATTATCCATTATTTCGCACGTTAAAATCGTTTCTGGCAAAGTTATTCTTAGGTCATTCAGTATTTCTGTTAAGTAGAGTTACGATGGTCTCTGTTGAAACAAAATAGACTTGATCAAGATCGATTCAGTAAATTTTTAGTAACCGTGGAACGATCAAATAGATAAACATAAATTCTAGAAATGCAATTTGGTGTAAGTAAGCTACACTAGCAAGGATAATATTATACAAGATCTTTAGGTCACCGATTTCGTTATCTTGTTTTAAAAAAATTGTATCATTATAGGTCAGATAGTGAATATTTTTCAAAATATTCGCAGAGAATATCAGAGAAATATTTTGTTAATTTACTGTTCATATTAATTATATTTGGTATGCAATAACTTATTGTAAATGTTGAATAATGCTAATTTTGAGGTATGGCATTCCTACATGGAAGTGTCTGGCTGACCACTGAATTTTATATCAATATACAAAATATACTAAAATTATTTGCAATAAGCTCTAATTAAAAAAAAACAAAATTAGAAAAATTGGAGATTCGTTGGATTTAACACTTGCTGAATGACTCATTGCCAATAATATTTTCAGATATTAATAAAACTTAAATCTCGAAGTACCTATAGTGGCACATTTCCATAAGTAATACGAGCGTCGAGACTAAGTCGAAATCGTCTAAAAATTGTATTATACAACTATAAAGTTACAAGTTTATTTATATAGACGTGTGTACATTGAAATGAACCGAAGAAACTTCATATAAAATAATAGTATGTTACGTAAAAACATTATCTTTAACTGTATTTAGAGGAAACGTTTGTTTTGGTTGCAGAAGGTGGACCCCGAGCTGATATTCACGAAACAAGAACGAATTGGTAGGGGTAGTTTCGGCGAGGTGTTCAAAGGCATCGACAATAGGACCCAGCAGGTTGTTGCCATCAAGATCATCGATCTCGAAGAGGCGGAGGATGAGATCGAAGATATACAGCAGGAAATCATGGTGCTGTCCCAGTGCGACAGCCCATACGTCACCAAGTATTATGGGTCCTATCTCAAGGTAAGACGTTCATTCTTGTTCAACGTGTTCGCCCGAAATCACCATAAATTCTACGTTCGCGTAAAGCTTATTCTTCTTCTTGAGGGTATTACGTCCCATAGACTAACGGGGTCATTAACAACAGATTTCTGCGCGTTGTTAATTATATTCTATCGAAGATGTTTATATCCTTCAGGCACTTGAAGCTGTTTTCTATTCCTTTTTGATCCGTTAGAGCTGCGTCACGTACTTATTTCTTGTTCGTTCAGTCTCACTGCACTCAGTGGACGACATTTCTGTGAGAACACCATAATTTTTAAGAAGAATTTAAATAATTTTGATGATATAATGAAAGGAATGATAGGAAATAATTAAGGTGTGATAGAAACTGGAAAAGTAGTGTGCATCTGGATAAAATACAAGTTTAATCTTAGATAAAATAGTTTATTTTTTTCGTAAACGAGATGTTACAGTTTGACACACAGAAATATGGCAAAATTTATATAAGAACACTATGATTTTGGATAAGAATTTAAATAATTTTGATGATGCAAATTAAGGTGTAATAGAAACTGGAAAAGTGATATATAGATCTGGAGAAAATAGTTTATTTTTTTCGTAAAGAAGATGTTAGATTTTTAAATTTGTCTCAGGGAATTGAATTGAAAAATTAGTAACTGGTACTACCGTCCTTGTTCCTAATTACATAAATTATTCTGTTTTTCATATTACCAATTAGTTTCTGTAATACTGTGTTTTGAATTTTATTTCATTCGTATCTTATTGATGTCTCCAACTTTTTAATGTTGTTAGATGACTATTAGGAGCTCGATACCGCAGTAGTTGCAATAAGAAGGTTATTCAGCTTTTTGTATCAGGTATTCTCGAGTGACTTTAGCATATCCTGTCCTTGGTCAAAAAGCTATAACTTTTTCTTTTCTATTAAAATTGTGTTGGAGGAGAGTTAACTGGTAAAAATCATTCACGAGGTCGTCCATTTTTGCTCTTTTGGTTGTCCATATATCGTACCATTGTTCTCGTACAATTTTCCCTGTGTGGTTTACGAGGCAAAGCTCGCGATCCAGAGAAATATCGGCAAGTGGTTGGGAACGCGTTACGATCGAACCGAGTACCCACAGATTGTGTACGCGGAACGCTTTGGGTAATCGTAGCCCGTCGTATGCGTGTTCGCGGGTAAATAAATCATCGTGGTTTGAATTGATGCGTGCCAGCGTGAAGTGCTGCACGCGGAATTGCAGATTGCAGCCGGCGTAAAAAAAAACCCACAGAGCCACGCCTTTCTGTCGCCGTTACGAATCGACGAGTTCCCACAATATTTTCAACGGTTTTACGCGAACGAGACCCGGTTCGGTCCATTATTAGGAACACTCCGCCAATACGCCCCCATCATTTTTCATACGCGAATAATAGGAAGGGCTTAACGGTCGGTTAACCGTCGCTTCCGGCTCGACAGTGTCGCGCAGACGCTTCCGCTTCCTGCGGTCGGTCGAGTGTGTGCTCGTTCGAAAGTATTTTAAAATAAAATCGCGCACGGTGACGGGGATTTTAATATTTCGGTGCAAAACTTTGCCCGTACGTTCAATTCGACCCCCCGTATTCTATTCCGGGGGCAAAAACGACTCGGTTCTGAATCGATTCTATGAAAAATTAATCCTTCCAAATCCATTCTCGCGTGTCAGACTCTGACACCGATCGGGCTTTTTAGTCGAGAATCAATCTTCGACTCGTCCGGTGGATTTTATTTCCTCTGAAGCTTCTTTGTTCGTCGGATATTTCTGAAGAACTCACGAAATATGAATTATTGGTGCCCTCTTTTTTTTTCAGTCTGCCAATTATAGAGAATTTCAATTTCAGTGTTTATTTTTAAAAACAGGAATTATTATTATTGTTGGACCATTTCCAAGATTTATTATTTTTAAAATCACTGTCTTGATTCACACGCGCCTTCGATCCAAACATGCAGAATGATTTTCATGCATTTTCTGAAACTTCTCACCAAAGATTACTCTGAATCCGACTGTTATTAATAAACTATAAATTTTTTTCATTTTACCAAGGAACAACTTGCGTTACACAAAATGTGTGTCGTGTCAGTTTGAATAAATACTATAAAGTCAGGCGTGCCATCGGTTTGCCGCGAAGCGTAGGAGATTCCAAGGGGGTCACGGAGGTCAGTTAACAAATGGCGAAAGAAAAAGTAACGACAGAGAATAATAGCGTGAAAGAAAAGTGAAGAAGTTCGTTGTAGGAATTTTAGATGAACGGTATCGGACGAAGTCGCGCCGGCGGAGAGGTTGTTGGATCGCGTTGCCTCGCGTTTGCATAGGCCTTTGTCCTCCGGAGGAACCTGGTGAACCATGACAAGTTGCGTTCTGCGGGATTCTCGACACGCTTTCGACGTTGGCCGGGACGAGACGCGTTTCAAGCCTGTTCGTTTTGTTGCATTGTTCAGCAGCCAGTGCTATTTGCGAGCTCATAAAGCGGTCAGATGCGTGCAAGTTCAGCGTGAAACCTCGGACTGTTTAGCACCATCCACCACGTGTGTGTGTCGTCGTTCGAAGGGATTAACCTTGGACAAATTAGGGGATGATAGGACTGGCTGTGTTTGGCAACAGGGAAATGTTAAATCGAAAATGTGCTGTTTCGTTTAAAATATTTTCAAAATAGTATTCACTGTTGTTCGTTAACCCCTTAACGCCCATATTTTTCGGGTTAACCAACAATGATCAGTTTTCTTTATTGGATTTGTTTCTAAAAATACGGTTTTTGTTAATTACAATGTTGTATCTAACGTATAATTTGAAGAAAAACAAATATTATCATCCCTTAAACCGTTGGATTAAACAAATATTGTTTTTCAAAGCAGTCAGAGTCGGGCATGAACGTTAAGGGGTTAATTCAATTCCAATCCTGTTGGACCACACACCAAGTATGACTATATATATTTAACAACTTAATAATGCAAGGAATTGCTAATTTATATACTATTTACAGACCATATGGATACTCAAATTTGTAATTACTGAAATTCTTTCAATGGGACCGATTCTGTATTATTATTTAGGGTTCAAATTATCATTCTTATGAAAAAGGGTTCAAACCTCGAGGTGACGTGAACCTTTCACTTTGAAATTAAGGGATTAATAGCAGGAATGGTTACTGTTTCAAAAAGACGATTTTTGAGTTAATTTTGTGGAAAAGATGTCTGGATTTAATTACACGATCAATCTGTTGAAAATTCACGTAAAATGTGAAATTATTGAGTTGGATCCCGTGTATCACTTTTTTCTATTTGAAGTGAAGGTTAATCGAAACGATTTTTCTTATAAATTACATTTTGAACTCTGTAAAAAATACTCTATCATCTTATTAGAGAATCATAGAAATACCACTTTTAATCGGAAAAGAAAATATCAATAATCTTTATACTTTCCACCATTCGAATCAGTAAAAATCCAACTAAAACTATGATGAAACATTTTCTTGTAGTTTTCAGTATTTGTTATTTATTATTTCCCCACTTCTGTTGCTTGTTAGAGTTTCATGAAATGGTATTGCAACTGACATTAGTAATTTTCGTTTCTTATGGGGCCATTCTACCTTTTAGGCACGAAAAATACATGTTTCTTTGTGATTTTTTTTTGCGGGCTATTAAAGAGTGATTAATTTCAAGTTTTGTAGATTCATTTATTACATATTTAGCTATATTTACGAATTTTTTCAACGCATAATATCTATTGATTACGCCGTTTTTGTTGATCAACAAACAACAATTTTTACGAACGGTGCTCGATGTGATATCTTGCGAAAAAGTTATCCGAAATCCAAAAACCAACGATATTCTTAATACAGATGAGTGTGGTTATAGCATGAACTAGGATCTTTTCAAAAAAAAAAACAAAAAATGGCAAAATCCAGCTATTTTACGAAAAATACTGAATATTTTCATATATTTGGTTGTTTTTTTGTTAATAAAAGAAAAAGTATTGCATATATCGCAATTATTCCAGTTCGTGCTATAGGGAGACCAGTCCTAAAGATACTGTATGAATTTCATGTTGATATCTCGAATAGTTTTTTTGTTACAACAGCTTTAAAGTTTCACGTTCAATTGTTCTACCTGCGCGCTATACATTTCAGCAGACTATAACTTCGTTAGTTTTTCAAATTTCAATTTAATATTTGGTAGATATATTTTCTAGACTATATACTAAAAGAAAATGCAAAAAAAATTCGATTTTTTAAATCCCACAAAGTAGAAAGGCCCCCTTAAAAGAATACGATTTGCACACTGTGCAAACGACGTTTGGTGGAGAATTAGCTACGCGAATAGCCGCCGTTTTAGGATTTCATTGTCGAGATTACGATTCGTTACCGCGACCGTATTCCGATCGAACCGCGGACAGCCGGATGGGTAACTAACGATCGCTAATGACCGTTTCGCGCGGTCATTAAGGAAAGATCTCGGCGGAGCTTAATATCAGGCGCCGCTTCATTTCATAGGTAATCATCTTAATTTTCCGCTTCCCGGGTCCAGAAACGAAGGGAGCACCGACGCTGCTCTCTAATCCGTTTCCCCGTTCCACGAGCCTCCCCATGAGGGAGAATCGCCGTGCTTGTTTCTACCCTTGTCTTGCAATTAACGCTGGCACCGTTCTCCCCCCCCTGATCGCGGACAACGACGATCGTTTCGCTTCTCCGTTACGCCGTGCATAATTTTTGGTTGCTATTTTAACAGAATTTGCAAACCACGGGGGTCCACGATCCGGACGTTTTTTATTTTTTAAATTAACACTGGGAACTACCAAAGCAGTCGAAATGTCCCATTAGTACTTTCTAATAAAACTTGTAAAACATTTATTCGACTGAATCTTTCAGAATTTAAAATGAAATGAAACAAACACTTATTTCCATTGCATTGTATATTTTACAAATAAATTCTAGCGTTAAACGTTTAGAATTTATCGGTATGGAAACTAGAAACTTGTACATGTACGTAT